ATCTATCTATCTATCTATCTATCTATCTATCTATCTATCTATCTATCTATCTAATCTCCCCAAAGAGAGGACTGGAGAGATGGCTTGCTTGTCCCACAAATACAAGGGCCTGAGATAGGATCTTCCCACACATGTAAAACACACATATCCTAACACACATGTGAAGGCTGTGTCTATGTTGATGTAACTCTAGGGCTGAGGGGACAGACAGGAAGGTCACTGGGGCTCACTGCTTAGCCATCCTAGTAGAGCCGATGAGCTCCAATTTGGCGAGAGACTTGTCTCAACAAATCAGTGTCGAGAAAGAGGAAGACAGCCAGCATCAGTCTCTGGCCCCCATTACACACACGTGTGTACATACACCTGTGCACACACCCATATTCACATACTTATTTCACACACCCACCTACCTCCTCATATGCACACAAGAGATAACAAAAGAGAATAAAAAAATATAGTATGTTTACCAAAAACTGGCATTGTTATGAACCTTTTAAATAAGTTCAATTTCCTAGGAAGTGTGAGCAACATAGTTTTAGATGATTTTTTTTAAAAAAAACTTATTAAGAAGAGTTCAAGAATGAATTTTTTTTGAAAGCAGAGTAATTCACCGAGGAAAGGGTAATAACAAAGAAAAAAAAAAAGAATATGTGTCTGAGTTAGGATGTCTGTTGCTATGATAAAATACAATGACCAAAAGATTAAAATACAATGATCAAAAGCATCCTCAGGTGCAAAGGGCTTTTTACATTACAACTTGTCATTCCCCATCTGGAGAAGTCAGGGCAGGCACCCAAGGCAGGAACCTGGAGGCAGGAACTGATGTAGAAGCCATGGAGTAGCATATACACTACCTTTTCCCTCAAGGCTTGCTCAGTCTGCTCGCTTTACTACCCAGGACCACCCGCTCAGTGGAGGCACCCCCATGGACCACCCACGTCAATCCTTAATCAAGAGAATGCCCGGTGAGCTCGCCCACAGGCTAACTGGTGGGGTATTTTCTCAACTGAGGTTCCCTCTTCCCAAATGAGTCTAGGCTGTGTCAAGCTGGCGTAAAAACTGGCCAGCACGAGGTCTATGAAGTGTTTATTTAACTGCACGCTGGAGTCTGTTTTCACTCTTTTCTGGGATTTCCTGGAGCCCGGTAGACTGTTATACACCATTCACATAGGCATACACAAAAATATACCATCTATAAATAGCCATCTGCCTTTTCAGTGAAATTAAAGATGGGCAGAGTGAGATTTTTCTGAGTGTAATTACAGGCTCAAACCTCCGGCTCTTGCGTTACGATCGTCCTACCAAGAGAATTTCCAATATCACTATTTTAAGTACATTTAAAAATTAATACTAACCTGTCTGGGAAAACCAAAAAAAAAAAATAAATACTAAGATGTTAACAGAGCACTTTCCTCCCACGCCCCCTCCTTGCCAAGTGTTCCCACGCACCCACTTACCAAGATTAGGTGTTGCCATGCTTTGCTGGGTTCTGCTTTATAAAGTGCAGAAAAGTGTTTGGTGTTTTTGTTCCTTATCTGGGGATTAGCACCCATCTACAGCCAATGTTTGTCTTCATCTCTACACAGGGCCCTTCTGCAAACGCTTCCCTCTCACAAAGCTTCTGCTCAAATGCAACTTTTTAGGAAAACCCATGAGGTTCCTAAAATTCTTAGGTAAGGTTTGACCTCACAGGGCATCCTCCCGCGAAGGGAATTAAAGCTGAATTCTTCTGCTAAGCAAGAGTGGGTTAGTGATTGTTCCACACGCGGCTCTTGTTCCCTCACTAGAGACCAAGCTGCTTCCATCATTGGGAGCTCAGGAAGATAAAGCAGGGATATGTTCTCAGGAGCAGTTATAAGACTTCCCTTGGAAGGGTCTAAGTGCCTTGTCAGAAAATGAGAATGGGAAAAGGAAAAGGAGGAGGAGGAGAAGCAAGTAAGCAAGTAAGCAAGCAGCAAACTCCTTCCATTTGGTCTGAAAGCAAACATTCTTAACAGGAAGTTTGGACTGTCTGTTGTGAAAGGCATGGCTTACTTAAAAGTTGTCATTTTACGACTGAGAACTGGATAAAGCTTAAGAGATTCAAAGCCCCTAAATTTCTCCCCTTGCTGCCCAAATCTTCACTGGGTGGAATGACCTCACGCCCACTGGGATGTTCAGAACGCGGGAGACTCATAAAAAAAAAAACAAACAAACAAGCCAAGCCGCTTTTGAGCCAGTATCTAGCTAGCCGGCCTCCTCCTGGAGAGATCTGTCTGTCATTGGTTTTCATTCTTTCCGATTGTAGAACACACCCGCTTGTGTGAGCCTGTTAATTAGAACGAAAACAGAACTGTTTCTGTTATGCTTTAGAACGACAGAAACTTTCAGCCAGTTGTGGGACGGGAGAAACGGCAGTGCACCGCCTACTTTGGGTATCATCCGGGTATTGGCACCTGAATTCAACAAGAAGCAAGTGAAAAACTATCAAAGCTTGGAACTGGGAGTATGAGAGTGCCTTGACCATTTCCAGGAGGGGGCTAACCAGCCTTATCCGATTCCTAAGTTGGCCTCTTCAAGAGCAAATAACAACCGAGTGGCTTCGGAGGCCACCTCAGGGTCAGCAGCTTCTGAGGCCACCTCAGGGTCAGGCAGGAGTCTATTCCTGTGAGCTGCTGAGTCACTGCCCCCGCCCCCCTCAGAGAGCTCCCAGCCTACTTTAGTTTACCTAGAAGGCAGAGGGAAGCCTCCAGCTAAGTGGTCAACAAAGGTGACCTCTGCTCTTATCTGGAAGCATCTACGAACTTTCCCTACCACCTGAATGAGAAGCATTTAAATATCAATAATTTAGATAAGGCCTACTAGGGGACACACACACAATTCCCAGGGAGTGGAGGAGTGGATCAACGGAACAGTAGAAATACCCAAAATACCTTCTAGTCCTCTTTCAAGCATGGGCTTAGTGTCATAAGGTTAGTAAATTACAGATGAGCAAGACATGCACCCTGAACCTCTAGTAAGTTCTATAAAAGCTTCCCTGAAAAGGTTAGAGCAGCAAGCAGTTCTCAACCTTCCTACAGCTGCGACTCCTTTAACACAGTTCCTCACGGAGTGGTGACCCCAAGCATACAATTATTTCATTGCTACTTTGTAACTGTAATTTTGTTACTGTTACGAATCGTCATGTGAGTATCTGATAGGCAGAATATCTGATATGTGACCCCAAAGGGGCCAGACAGTAACGTTGAGAAACACTGGCTTGGAGGTAATGTGAAGAAGGCCATGAACAGGAGCAGGAGACAAAAAAAAAAACAAAGCAAAAGCACAGGACAGACAAAGCTTTCAGGACCCTGTGCCACCCCGTGTCCTCTTTGGGGGACACACCCATGGCCCACCTTCTTTCCACAACAAAGTTTTGTTCCTAGGTTTGCTATCTCAGGAAGAGTAAAGAAACACTCGCTTTATATTTTTTAAAAAATTTATTTGTGATCTGTACATGTCATAAAGTGGGGCTTCATAGTAGATCTTTAAAGGCAAAACAAAAACAAAACAAAAATCCAAAGTAAAAATGTATAAATACAATATATATTTCTTACAAAAATGGGAGATTTACAAAATATACATACTGCACTGTCTCTATTTTACAAATTTCACATGCACTTGAGAGAGAAACACAGGAGAGGCCAAACCTGTGTAGTAGCAGTTAAAAAAAAAAAATCTGACAGGTGAGATCATATTCTGAGTTTCAGAAATGCAAGATCACTTTAATGTAAAAGCAGCTCCATTGCACTGAACGTGACAGATAGAAAGTAATTTGTACTCCTGACAGTACCCCCCTGATTGGCATTTAACAGCCGCTCTAAGAAACTGAGCAGCATTGAAGACTGGAGGACAGTCAGTGTCAAAGGTGGAGCGAAGGTTGGCTCCCATGATGCTGTTAGCTTTACACCATTATGCCAAAGAACCAGGCTTCTATCACAGGAAAAAAAAAGTATATAATTTAAGATTAATACATTTAAGTCTTCTAGCATATTTCAAAGAACTCCAGAATCACTTTGAAGTTTACCTTCCTCTAATGACTTCCTAAACCCGGTACAAGCTCACCTCTTCTTCCTTGGCTGGCACCCTGGCGCATCGCCTCTTAGGGTCCGAGACCAGAGGAAGGGTCCGCACCTGTTTCTCATACACAGATGGAGGGAACTAAGGGACGTGGGCAGACTGTTTTCAATCCTTTAAATGAATTTGCCCCTTTATTTTGATTCTGTGAGCATTATGCCTCTTCTTTCATCTTGAAGAATACAGATTGGATGGTGGGGGGAGCCAGGTGTGACACTCCACACTGTAAATCTCTGCACTCGGGAGGCAGAGGCAGGGGGATCTCAGAATTGGAGGCCAAGCTGGTCTACAGAGTGAGTTCCAGGACAGGAAAGGAAACACAGAGAAACTCTGTCTAGAAAAGCCAAAACAAACAAACAAACTAAAAAAAATTATCAAAAAAACCCTCAAAAAACAAAAAAAGAAACAAAATCCCAAAGAAATCCCAAACAGACACACAAAATACACACACACACACACATTGGACAGAAAGAGGTGGGAAACAAACAAACAAAATTTAGGCTAATGGGGTGTGCGGAATGGAGGGAGGTTTCATTAAGCTGTTACCAGAGCCTGTTAGTTCATGTGTTGTGATTTAAATCTGTTTAAAACAAATATCAAAACTTCTTGCATCTCCTTTATCCAAGTCAGAACCTTCAGCTGAATGGGTACGAAAGCATGCTGTCTTTAGCTTTTCCTTAAAAAGGAATGTTTATCTCAACCAAATTAACCACCGAAGGGAAAGCTCAGATTTCTGCTGCTTTGCCTATAAAAGCCACTGCCTTCACAGCTAAGCTTTCCTCAGGGAGACACTTTTGTTTTCCCCTTTGTCTCTTACAACAAAGACAAGGGGGGAAAAATGCATTCCTATTTTGAAAAGCAACAAGTCATCACTTCTTTTTCAGGGTATGAAACCAAATAAAACATTCTTTTTCTGTCTGCCTCCCGCCTTCCCAAGAAAATGAAGAAAGTAGCAGAACCAGGCTACCACTCGGTCTCCACTTGGAAATTTTCCCGTCTTCTTTTGCATCTTCACGTTAGGATTCTAGCAGGCAGCCTTCCCCGGCCTTCCAAATGCTCATTTTACTAGACTTGAAAGGAGAAGGGGAGGAAAACAGGCGGGAGGGGGTCGGGGAAGAGGATTGTAATGTCTGACCCTGGAAATTAACCCATCTGGGCTCCAGTTTGGCCCCAGTGAAAAGAGATTATGGTTTGACCACCGCTTGACAAGGGCACCACAGGGGGCCCCCCCATTTTCCCAACAAAGCCAGGCTGCAGACAGCGCTATCTTCCCCCCTCCCCCGGCCTCACTGGAGTGAGGACAGCCGCTTGCCTTGCAGCAGGGATTGGACTCAGCCCTGGCTCAGCTCTGGCGCCCGGAGGAACTCACCAGTTTCTGCTGATTTCAACCTTTTCCTAACGGCCCTCCCGGCCCATATCTTTCACAGTTAGCATCCTGCGAGTCTTAGCCAGCAGCAGTTTTCCTATCCACGCCGCCTTTTGACTTTTCACTCAGGCCTCCACTCGAAATCACCTCTCACCTCCAAATAACTTCTCACTTCCACGTTAAAGCTAAGTGGAGGAGGGGGTAGCCTACAGAAACAAGTCCCCACCCAGCAGTTCTTTCCCTACCAAGCCTCCTCTCCTACGGGGAGGTAGAAGTGGCAAGGGTAGGGGAAAGACCGGGTCTCATACCGCAGTCTCCCCCTTGCTGCTGTGGCTGAGTCTGTGGTAGAAGCGACGCCATGACTGCAGGGTCTTGCCCGACCAGATCCAGAAGCCGGTAGTGATGCCCACGATCATGGTCATCAGATACTTGATCATGAAGACTGTGAAGTCGGGGCTCATGGGTGGGAAGTGGCCTGGGGGGCAGGGCACGGCATAGCTCTTGCAGGTCTGCAGGAGCCAGGTGCGCTCCCAGTGCTCACGGAAGGCCTGCTCGTAAAAGTAGCAGGCCAACACGATGGTGGCAGGCACCGTGTAGAGCACGCTGAAGACGCCGATGCGCACCATCAGCTTCTCCAGCTTCTCCGTCTTGGTGCCGTCGTGCTTCATGATGGTGCGGATGCGGAAGAGAGACACAAAGCCGGCCAGCAGGAAGGACGTCCCGATGAAGAGGTAGACGAAGAGGGGCGCCAGCACGAAGCCCCGCAGCGCATCCACACTAGACAGGCCCACGTAGCACACTCCACTGAGTAGGTCCCCGTCTACCTGGCCCATGGCCAAGATGGTGATGGTCTTGACCGCCGGCACAGCCCACGCGGCCAGATGAAAGTACTGCGAGTTGGCCTCGATGGCCTCGTGGCCCCACTTCATGCCAGCTGCCAGGAACCAAGTGAGGGACAGAATGACCCACCAGATGGAGCTGGCCATGCCGAAGAAGTAAAGCACCATGAAGAGGATGGTGCAGCCCTCCTTCTTGGTGCCCTGCGCCACCGTGCGGTAGCCATCGTCCGAAAAGCGCTCCACGCACACGGCGCGGTCTTCTAGCAGGAAGCCCGCCACGTGCGCCACAGCCACCATGAAGTAGCAGCCAGACAAGAAGATGATGGGTCGCTCTGGGTAGCTGAAGCGCCGCATGTCCACTAGGTAGGTGAGCACCGTAAAGAGCGTCGAGGCGCAGCACAGCACTGACCACACACCCACCCAGAGGCGGGCGAAACGCCTCTCCTCCTCTTTAAAGTACATGAGGCCGTTAGCACGACCCGGCTCACACGGGGCACCGCAGTCGCGCTCACCTAGGAAACGGTAGCCCAGGTAGGGGGGCACTTTGAGCTGGCGCGGGCAGGAGAAGGGGAAAGACCACCGGCCTCTGCCATCCGAGGGGGATATCGCAGTGAAAGGCGGGTCGGGCAGGTAGGGAGCTGTAGGGTAGGCGGTGGGACTGCCGCCTGCGCCCCCGGAGCCGTCGGATGTGTTCTGGCCCACGCAGATCTCGCCGGCGCCGTGTACCGGGAAGTTCTCGCAGCGCAGCCTCTCAGGCCACTGGAAGCCGAACTTGTTCATGAGAGCCTCACAGCCTTGGCGGGCGCGCTCGCACAGGGAGCGGCACGGAGGAATGGCTTGGTCGAGTACCGTGCACACGGGAGCGTACATAGAGCACAGAAAGAAGCGCAGCTCGGGAGAACACTGCACCTTCACCAGCGGGTAGAACTGGTGCACCTCGAGGCCCGCGTCCTCTTGGTTTGTGTGGCCCAGCAGGTTGGGCAGGATGGTCTGGTTGTAGGCGATATCCGTGCACAACGGGATGGAGATGGGCTGGCAGAAGCCATGATCCGGTACAGAGATGCCCTTCTCGCCGTGGTAGGGCTGAGCCCGGGTGCCCGTGGGCAGTGCGCCCAGAAGCGCCAGCACCAGGGCGCACAGGCCCAGGAGCGAGTGCGACGCCGCAGTGCCGGGGCCCCGCATCGCGGGCCGAGAGTGCAGTGGCGTTCTCAGCTGGAGGAAAAAGACGAGGCGCTGGGGAGCGGCTAGGATGC